CCAATAACAAATGTTGGCGAGATTGCAGGGAGAAAGGAACCCTTCTCCATTGTTGATGGGAGTGCAGACTGGTGAAACCACTATGGAAATCAATATGGAGATACCTCAAAGACTGGACTAGAGGTTCCATTTGACCCAGCCATCCCTCTGCTGGGTATCTTTCCAAAAGAAAAGAATCACACCACAGTGGTATATGCACACCAATGTTTATAGTGGCACAGTTTGTAATAGCCAGAACTTGGAAACAGCCCATTTGCCCATCAGTTGGAAACTGGATAAAGAAGATGTGGTTTTTCTATAAAATGGAATACCATTCATCCATAAAGAATGAGAAATTAGATTCATTCATAGGAAAATGGATACATATTGAGGATATACTCCTAAGTGAAATAAATGAGTCACACATGTAAATACTGAATAGTTTCTCTGGTATGAAAAACTATAATAGTACATAATATCCTAATGAGATAATTGAAAATGTGAAATGGGAAGAAAGGGGCTAAACATGTAGGGAAATTGGGAAGGGTAGGGGAAAGGGAACAAGGGAAAAGAAAAAATATGAGAAAATGAAAAAATGGAAATAAAGTGTTTGTAAAGGGGAGGGGAGGAGGGGGTGAAGGGAGGGCAGGGACAAGGGATTAAAAATGAGAACCAAGACCTGTCATGTAAACGTACAAGATCCCAATAATGAATGAAACTGTACTGTATCCCTAAAATGTACCAATAAACTCAATGAGGAAAAAAAATAAATATATATATATATATATTTATATTTAAAAAGGGAAATTCTCTCAGACCTCCTAAATGTGACAACACAGCCTTTTGTGTTAATGATGAATATAAAATTAAGATTGAAAATCCTCTCCTGTGCCAGGTCCTATGAGCATCCCTCAGATTGTGTTGTGGAAATCCTAGCCTAGATGACCCTGACACACTCCGGCCCTGGCACGGCACTGTGAAAACCTTGAGCCTTGACCAAGGCTAACTTCCAGGAAAGACTTCCAACTCTGTACATTAGACTCGTCTCCTCTGGTGCATCCCTGCCTTGCTCCTCTGCAGTCCTAGTACAGACTCTCCACCTGCTGAAGGCAGTGGTTGAGTGAATCGGTTACTCCCAGATTTGAGCAACAGTGTCAGCACTGTCCTGTACATGTCTGGACATTGTACTTAACAGTGTTGCTTCACATCTCTAGGACTTGGCTTCTTTATCCCAAAAAGTCAGGTTAGTTCTTTTTTTTTTTTTTTAATGTCAAAAGCAATTTGAGTGGGAAAGCAAGAGTCCGTGTTATCACGGTGGCCCAAAGGGGTTGAAAGGCAAGGAAGACTCTGTCATTTGGAAGAGAAAGTAGCATGTATAAAAGAAAGGGAAAGAAGCCATTCTGTGCATGGTATTCAGTGTGATTATGACAACAGCTGATATTTATTTAGTGGTTACAATTATGTTAAGGGTTTTCTAGTCTTGATTTTGCTTTATTGCTCCCACTTTACACATGAAGAAATCCATATTCAGAGAAATGTGTCTTATCCGGGAACACAAGTAGAAAGTGGCAGATCGGGGCCTTGAACTCCGGTCTCCCTGAGTCCAGGGCTTATAGCCTCATTCTCAATGACAGGGCCTCCTGAAGTAGGGACCGCAGTCGCTGCTCCTACAGGCCCATGGCCAACTGCTCATCTACACTGCATGCTCTGTTGCTTGTCCTGTGCCTGACTGAACAGGATTCCTGACTTTCCCACACAGGGCATGGGCCTTATCTCTTTTGCAACTCTCAACTTGTTTTTTTTTTTTTTGTCTTCTCTCTCCTGTCTTTTCTGTTCTGGTCCTTTCTGAATCACCAGATTAATGAACCCCAGTCTTAATCTTATTACAGGGAGCCAGCATCCCTTGTTCTACCAAGGAGTAGCAGTGGCTCTGGTGGCCTGTGCCCCAAAGCACCAGAGAATTTGGTGACATCCAGTTGATGTTCCTTTGATGGATCCTCAAAGAGAGAGTAATGCCAAGGGAGCCAGTTTCATGTTTGTTATATAAATTCTCCCTGTGTAAAACGTCAGAGAACTTGCTAAATGTAGAGAACTTACTAAAGCAATGGCATTAGGTGTAGAGCGCAGGCTTTCCTCTGGCCATGCACTGAGCAGCCATCTCTGGGCCTCAGACACCCCATGGCTTACATGGAATGACCAGCCTTATAGCTTTGGTGGGGATCAAAGGGGAGGGAGGGAATAATACTCATGTACACACATGACAGGTACATGTCAACAAAAGTCACGTCCATGTGAGGAATTGTAGTAAAAGCAATGCTTCTTGCTAGCATTTGTAACAATCTCTTTCCCTTCAACTCTTCCAGGTACCTCACTTCCATTAAAAATGATCTCGTACTCCTGCTATTTTCATTTGGCCTTTTCAGTCCCTCCAAATATTATCTCCTCCCTCTTCACAAATGCAAATTGCAGTTTTAGGCCTAAAAGCAAATTGATTTTTCCCTCTGACCCAACAATCTAAGACACTGATGTGGCATATGGTTGCAGTAGCTACCAGCTTAAAGACACCTGTCCCAATTGTGACAGTTTTCTTCACCTGATCAAGGCCTAGTCCTTATTACCTACCTATCTCTCCCATAAAGATTTCTGGATAACCTAGGATGAGTGAAGCTGAACAGGACATCTCCACTGTTAGTCATCTCTGCTCCTAAGCTCTTTGATGAGGCTGAGAACCTGTGCCCTTAGGACAATCTAGGCCACCATGGTCACCTTCTATAAGTACTCCATCAATGAGAAAATGATGGACAAGCCAAAAGACTGTAGGGCTGGGTGGTTCCATGCCTGTCTTGAAAGTGCAAGGCCGTGAGTTCGATCCCTGGTACAAAACAAAAGACTGTAGCACTGGGTCAAAATGATGAAGGCTCTGAATTAAATATTCTTCGTCAAGCAACAACAAGAAGACATCTGTGATGCAAGACATTTCTGCTATGCCATTTTCTAACCTAGAATGTGGAGGTCAGAAGGCTCTGACCCATACACATGCTCATTCTGAACAAAAGCAAGGGGAGTGCAGCCCCTTCAGCAATAACAAATTCAAGGACATTCAGCTTTTAGCTACATTCAGGGACACTGGACCAAGCTCACCTGTCCCAGGTGGGCAGTGATTACAAATCAGACAACAAATAAATGCTTTAACCTGGAGGAGCTTAACTCTGGATTTTGAAATTTAATTCCTCCTGCCATAAACCTTTCCCGTGTCCCTACTCTCTGGAAATGATACCTAAAGAACGCCCATAAAGCCAGAGTCTAGGTATTTTCAATCAATTAATTAATTAATTACGAATAACCCCTCATTTAGGAAAATTAATGCACAAGAAAGAATTCCATTGAGCTAGGCACTTGCATTACAAATGGGGCCTCTTTTAAAATGAGAGCCTTAAGTGTATTTAACATAGGACTTGAATTACAGAGCACCCAATTTAACCACAACTATTCAGGAATACACAGAGCACAAGCAAAGGTCAAGTTGAAACCTGAATGCCATAAATTCTTTCTGCAGAGAGACCCAGGGTGACAGGTGCAGAACTCAGCGTGTACCAATCACCTGCAGAGCTCATTAACATAGCAATTCATGGACCTTCTTTCAGGGCTACGTTATCATTATCTGTAGGGGTGGAGTCCATCATCTGTATGCTTAAGTATCTCCTCAAATGATTGGCTACAGGCAGTCTATGCACCTTGAACTAGGTCTTAAAGCTGCAGTATTCCTGTGCCTGAACAAAGTCACCCCAAAGTTGTGTAGAGGGTGAAGGCTCAGCCCCCTGCTCATTGCTCAATGGGAGGCCATTAATGTGAAAGCCCCTTTTATCCAAAAGCTGGACCTGAAGTACTGTGACACCAACCCCAAATCCTACACACCACCAACTCCAAATAGCTAAGTAACTCACCTATTTATGCTTTAAAGACTAATTAATTAATGAATTGAAAACACCTGGAGTATCTTCCTAATAAGGCTCAGAATTGAGGCACTTGTACAACTGTACAGATGGAAATGCAGGAGGCCAAAGAGAAGAGAGGATCTGCTCCCAGAATTGGGTGAGCCAGGTGGGCTCATGGGGTTGAAGGCCTGGTCTCCTGATCCCTCTGCCAGCCCCATTCAACGTTCTGCGATGAGCTTTAGAATGAGTCAGGTGCCCCTCACAGGACCTGTCCCCAAGCTCTACCTTTCTCCTGTGTGCTAATCATAGCTGGTAACTATATATATTTTATGTTTGTCTTCCCAAGCAGATGGTATATTCTGAGACACATGACCATTGTACACAAGACTTTCTAGCAACTAACAGAACCTAGCGCATAATGAGTCAATAAATATGTGTTGGGTGGCTGGACTCAAGATGGTATAGTATTCTCACCTACAAAATAGAATATTGGAATGCTGAAGAGAAAAGGGTTTATCCAGGGAACAAGTCTGTTCCCCAAGGTCAATGGAGGCAGGGGAAAAACATTCTCACTTAAATCCCTGTGTCAAGATTGGACTAGACCAGCTCTGGCAAGCCTTCCAGATCATAATATTCTATATGTTTTATAATTTCATTCAGTAACTAGAAATTCCATAGGGTAAAGTCAATAGTGACCAAACAACAACCTTCCCCTCTCTAAAAGGGTGTGGGGTCGCACAGGCCACCCAGCTTGATGACTGCACATCTCCCTCTAGCGGCCAGGTCAGGATTGGGCAATATAATTTTGTGGTCCTTGGGGGAAAAAAAAAAACAGCTTCCATAAATTTATGCCTGTCTTGAGTACAATGAATAACTTACATATGTGTGAAATGTATTAAAATGACTTAGGTAATCATTTACTGATTCAACAACTTCTCACCTATGGCTTAATATCTACCCAGGAGAAAAGATACAGCCTTGAGCATGTCAGAGATATCTTGTCCCCACTCTGTTTAAATCCCAGAGCGGGATGAGGCATTCAACAGTAGCACAAAGGTAGGGTAAAAACCACTGTGATGTGGGTTAGAAGGGAAGGAGAATGTGCACAGTGCTAATACAGAAGTAAGGAGCAATGGGCCCCTCGGGGAAGGCTTCCCTGAAGGAATAATACTGAAGACTGGGGTTTGAAAGCTGAGGAAGAATTAGCAAATCAAAAAGCAGGGAGTGGGTGGGAAGGGAGGGAAAGGAAAAAACTCTAGGCAGAGAAAGCTCTGGAAGTCTGAGGGAATGAGGGTGGGCCAGGGTTCCTGGGTAGGGAGGGCTATGAGATGAGCCTGAAGAGGTGAGTCTGCCAGTAACCCCATCAGTTCCCCAATCGAAGGCCCAGAGAGGCCACACAACTGCATGGAGGGCACAGCCTCTGGGTGTGGTGGGAGGGCTGGGGGGCCATGATGGGCAGAGCTACAGGCAGGGAGCTAGAAGCACAGGGCAGCATGTGCGGGGAGGAGGGAGGGTGAGCAGCTCATCCAGCCTGCCTAGAGCTTGGGCCACAGAAACTTCAGGCTACTGACAGTCCATCTGACAGTGAGACAGCAGGTGCAGAGAGGGGTCTGTCTCGCAGTCCATCTCCTTCTGCCACATCCCTCTACTCATGTGTGCAAGGCTTGGGTCCCCGACCTACTGCAGAACTCCAGCTCCTGTGAGCACCTCCACCTCTCATCTGATTCGTGTTCTTCTGGCCTATGGATGTTCAATCCCAGGATCCATTGCCATCACCCTGGGGGGTGAGCACGTGACCCTGGCACCCCATGCTCCTGCCCCAGTCTCCCTGCACTGCCCTGTGAGCTCCTGCCATGCCTCTTAACAGGCCTTCCACTCTCCCTTCGGGACCTCCTCACGAACTGTCCTCTTCCCTCTTGTGACAGCCGCCCCTCTTTCCTGGCCAGCTGCTGCCCATCCTCCGGGTCATAGCTTGTACATCTTCTTCTCCAGAAGCTGCCTTGTCCTCTCCAGGACGTCCTCGCTGGAGCACTGATTGTGTTGTATGTTGGTTGCCTGTTACCTGTTAACTATAGAGATAGTTAGACTTGAGCACCCAAAGGTCAAGGACTTAGGTCTACTTCACTTTCTTATGCACTCCCAATAACAAATATGGCGCATGGCCCAGTGCCCAGAACTATTCCTTAAATGAATAAAAATAAATGACTCTAATCCAAGCCACCTGCTTTTTATCCTCAAGCCGTATGTCTCTCATCTCCATCTCTCCATCATCCTCTGCCCTCTTTCTATCTAGCAGGGACCTGCTTACTGCTATAATCTTCCCTGAGAGAAAGAAAACAGTCCACCACAGCCCAGACAGCGACTTGTCCACCTTATTATACCTAGCCGCTTCTGGGGTCCCCTAAACTCCCAGGGGACAGTAGAGTGAAAAGCAACAAAGAGCTGGCTACATTTCAGACTTGTTAGTCTTTCCACCAAATTTATTTTGCAGGAGACTGGGAAATATGTTTGAAAGTTGAAATGTTTCCTTATCAATTTCCACAATATTCAGAGGCCTGGCTCTGTCTAGGAGAACCTATGAAACCAATACAATCCCCAAGGTTAAAATTCCTGTATAAGGTATCTTGGGCACTGCAGCCCCTGCAGAAAGCAGCTATTCCCTAGCTTGCATACAAATGGAATCCTGGAAGTCCTGTCTGATCGACGGCACATAACTACTGAAGGCTTTCCATGTGCCAGACTGGGTTAGATGATTTTGATTAGATGAGAATGGTCAGGCTGGCCCCTGCCCTCTTCAGAGCCAACATTCCAACAGGAAACACATACCTGTGCAACTTCTTTTAACTATTCAATGACAATTGAGGCACCAATGGAAGAGAGAAAGTGCAAGGTGCTGAAAAGTACAATCTGAAGGGCCCGGCCTCACCTGGGAGGTCAGGGAGTCTGCCCCAGGACCATGACCTTCGGGCTGAAAGCTGGAGGGTGAGTCAAAGTAACTAGGCACAGAATGGGGGAGTGCTCTAGATGCATGTGCACTGACTGTGCCTGTGTGTGCGTGTGTGAGCACATCACAACTTTATACATGTGTGTGAACATGTATATAGCATAATTGTGAAATGTGAGCATCTGTATGCTGCAGCTCCATTGTCCATGTAATGTGTGTTTATCTGTGCATGCGTGTGAACGCGTGTTAACAATGAGCCCGAGTCCAGTCTGTGAATCCCTGATGGAGGCTCCAACACTCTTTAGCCCTGAATCCCACCACAGCAAGTCATCATTCTATAGCAGATTCAAGCTCCTCTCTGTGGAACAGTGGTTGGCAAACCTCATTCAGCTCATGAGCCATTTCAGTAGAAGCAAGACCAGCAAGAGCCCCTTGCTGTGAACTGTGTGCTAGGTGTGCTGCGCAGGTTCATTGTTTACTTCTCTGGCGTCCCTAGGAGGCGGGCATGCTTACTGTCCCATTTTGTAGAAGAGGAAACCAAGGCTCTGAAACAGGAAGGCTCTTTTCCAAGGTGGCCAGTAAGTTGGGTTTTTGGTTTTTGTTGTCGGTGGTGGTGGTGGTGGTGGTGGTGGTGGTGCCGGGGATCAAACTCGGGACAGCAAGTTAGTTTTGAAGCTGGGATTTGAACACGAGTCTGTATGACTCCAAAGTGTGTGCTCCAATATCTCGAGTGTTTGTCCTGCTGCTAGAGCAAGGGGCAGTGCAGTTGCACACACTCACCAGCATGCACCCACACAGAGTTACTGTAAGACCTCCCCAGCCCAGCAACCATTGAAGTCTCCTATGTGAAGCTCTGCCCCCATCCAGCCACTGACTCACTATGAGGACTTGGGAAAGTCCCGCCCCCTTGTTGCCTAGGAGATGTTCCTGAGCTCTGTCACTCTCCACGAATAGATTCATTCTGCCACCCACGAACTGCAGGTGGGTTACATAATCTCACCAAAGCTGTTTCCTCATCTCTAAAATGGAGCAAATAATAATAATGGCGCAGCCCTGATGCTTTGCACAGGGATTAACTGAGCTCATGTATGAAAAGTGCCTAGCCCAGTTGCTTCTTCATACTGGGTGGTCAATGAACTAGAGCTGTCATTGGCGCTGAGGGCAAAGGAGGGCCATCGGGCTGAGAGCTCTAGGGAGGGAGACAGATGGACCCGGGTCAACATGCCTGCTTGCCCTCTAATAGCCATGCGACCTTGGCAAAAGTTATTGAGCTGTCAAACTTGCCTCACTTGTAAAATAGGAATTAAAATTGCACCTATGTCATAGATTTGTTTGAGGAATAAATGAGATAATGCATTTAGCACTTTATTACTAGTTATGTATAATGAGCAATATTATAAACAAAGATTATTCACAATCTAATTTAATTTCAGTTCAAAGTTTTAGGGGAAAAAACAAAAAGGAAGCATCTGGTTTGATCAGTTTACTAGATATTGAGCTGCTTGTAAAAAAATTTTTTTAAAGAAGCAAAGAAAACAGGCCTTCCTCGTGGGTCAGTGCAAAATCAGTTTCCCTTTGGCTCTGAAGCTGGCAGTTCTGGTATTGGCTCATGGTTTGGTTAGGTCCAAGGCCATGACCATGAGTAAGTGATTCACTCTTGCTAAAAACGATAATCATGTTTGTATTCTAAATATTTATATTACAAGAAACCAAACCTGCTTGACCTTCAGGATCGCAGGCCTCACTCCCCACTCAGTGGAGCTCGTTCATTCATGCAGCTCAGGACTGGTAACCAGTGGTCTTGTGCCAGGCACCAGCCACACTGATGCTTGGCTGAATGAAAACTGGGCAGCTTTTGCTGAATGGGGAGACACTGCCAAATCAGGGAATATTAAGGGCTAGAGCCTAAAGAAATGCAAACCTGTGCATTTGGTACCTATTTCATTACAGCCAGTCCCAGCGAAGTCTTTTGGGATCATCTCAGGCAGCACACACATTTTACAGGTGGGCAAACAGAAGCCCAGAGAGAGAGAAAAAAGAGAGTGGTTTTGCAAAGCCATGCTCAGATTCTACTCTGCTGACATGGAAGAACCTTTCCTGGAGAGTCCCATCCCTCATTCCTACAGCCCCGAAGACTGTACTCACCTCACTCAGCAGTGGGTTCTCCAAAAACTACCTCAAACATAGGGACAGTAGGAATAAAAAGTAGTGTCACTAAGAACTATAGCTATCTTTACTGGGTGATTACTTGGTGCGGGTATTTAGTTAAACGGTTAATATGCATACCTCATTTAATATTCAAAAACAACCTTCTGGGGTGAGTCATTTTTACCCCATTTTACAGAAGAGGATACCAAGGCTCAGAGAGAAAAGGGGATTTTCTTAAGGCGACACAGCCAGAAGTTAAAGGCCATCATTATCTATGTCTGACTCAATCCCTGCACACATGCTCGCTAATCCCTCGCAGTGAAGAAGCACAGCAGTCCTCCAGGTCCTGCTCCAGAATTTCCCAGGCTGGCCGACATCTGATGCTTGAAAGAAGAATGGAGGAAAGATGAGGAGCAGATTTGGCAGCAAAGAGGAGTCAAAGCAAGTCTTAGACTGAGCAGCCTCTGAGATAACGAAGCAGGATGAACTCAGAGGTGACCCGGAGGGGCAGCAGTGAGAGCTGGCTGTCTGGAAGCAGGTGGATGGAACACAAGCTATCCCAGCATGGCCTCGGCTAAGCATGGCCCCAAGTGCTGTGACAGCAAGCCATTTCCTGTAAGAGGAGCAGTGCCTATGGCCTGGGAATCCCTATTCCCCGGATCAAATTCCAGCTCCATTGCTTCTGAGGTGGATGACTCCCTGCAGGCCTAGATTTCTTGATTAACAGTTCCCTCTTCTGTAAAATATTCTTGTACGGTATCAGCATGAGAACTAAATGAGTGAAGGCACTCTGAATTGTACCTGAGACATAGTGAGAACTGTATACATTTTTATTACATTTTTAAAATTACATAACTAGAGTAATAGAGTCTGGTTACTTGAGTAAGATGCTTTTGGTAACAGGATATTAGAATGCCTCCACAAAGTGACTCCAACAGGAAGGTTTATTAATTTCTCCTATCTGAATAAAAGCGGTTCCAGGCTCAAGGATGTCTCCTCTACTCAGTATCCTCTGCTCCTTTCTCCCACCATTTTTTTACATATCACCCTTGTCTACTCTCCTGTCCCAAGATGGCGGCATGAGCCCCAAGGATCACATCCCCACAGAGTCATACCTAGAAACATAAAGGAGGGAGCAGGGGAATCTCTGGTATACCTACATTTCTGCCTTCTAAGTGAGAAGTTTCGCAGAAGACTCCTTCTTCTATTATTAGCCAGAACACGGTCATGCGACAATCTCCAACCACTACTGAAGACTAGAAAAGCAAGATTCTAGCATTTTTCTATCACTATTTCAAACTGTAGTTTGTAGAAGGAAGATGGAAAGAACAGCAAATAAGTGGGTCATATCCCTACCCTGTAGGATAGTCTTGAAAAGGAAATATAAGAAGATACAAAGGAGAGAATGAAAGAGTTAAATACTTACCCTACACATATGTAAGATATTGTTATCATAAATAACAACAAAAATAACCTAATGCCTCCAGGTCATAAATGCATTGTATGCAAATATGGGTGCTGGGCTGTGGATATAGCTCAGTGGTAGAATATGTGCTTAACATGTTGAGGCCCTGGGTACCATCTTCAACACTACAAAGGAACACCAGACACTGATAATTCTAGGTAGCCCATTTTTTCCTCCCACAGATAAGGCTGGCAGGGGAAAAATAAAAGAAGCAATTGTACATGCTCATGACCAGTAAAACTGAGCCTGTATAACCTCCCAATAACTCAGGGCTGGAAAAAAACCATTGTCAACGTCCCCTCTCATTTGGGTTGGTTACAAAAAAAGCCTGGTAATGTGAAATAGGAAGAAAAGATCTAACAGAGTAGGGGAAGTGGGAAGGGTAGGGGAAAGGAAATAAGGGAAAAGAAAAAAATATGAAAAAAGGAAAAAATGGAAACAGACCTTGTAAATAGGGGAGGGTGAAGGGGGTGAAGGGAGGGCAGGGGAATGGGAAAAAAATAAGAACCAAG